CACATGTGCCTTAGAGAGATGCTAGAGGCCCACCAGCCCCAAACGGAGACTCTCCTATATCATGGAAAGAAAAGAATTCGTTCAGTGCCTGCTTCCAAGTCCTATGATGTTCTGCTCTTGTCCCATCCCAGGCCCCTGGTGTCACATTGAGCAAAGGCTGATTTATCGTGGAAAACCAACCCCTGGAAAGACGGGTGCCTCATGCCAGGCCAAACATCTGGATGGTAGCGTGTCCTTCCTGCCACACCAGGCTGGCTCTTCCCAAAAAAGCAGAATTCCCTCAAGACGTTTTAAAAAAGAAACAGAATCCGGAGATGACGGTCAATTCTATTCTTTGCCAGTCTTGGAATATAGATTCTTCCTCCTCTCCCTTCAGTCACTTTGAGACATAATCTCATTTCTACGAAAATTAAAATAGACGTTCAAGGGGTAGCATGCAATCTATAAAGGTCCTTGGAGGACCAAAAAACGTTGGTCCAGAAACCATTTAAGGTGCTTTGTCTTGTTTCTCAGGGCAGGGCAGGAATTTAAGAATAGAACTCACGGAAGCAAGGGTTCCAAGTGGAAGAGAGCCCTGGCAGGTAATTATGGTGTGATGGGTAATTATAGTTTCCCAGGAAGTGTCTAAATTATAGAGCAAGTGTCACTTCCATGCTGCTTCCTCCTGAGAAAAATAATACAGGCCCGGAAAGCCGAAGTCTGGCTGGTAGGCATTTGAAACTGCCTTGTGGGGCCCCCGGTCAAGGCCAAGGCAGCTTTGGTTTAGGGTCTCTCCACCTGCTCCTCTCCTTCCTTTAGCCCCTTGTCACCTGGCGTGAGGGGTGATGGTCAGTGACTGCCTGGCCTGTATGGGGAAGGTAGCACTGTCCACTCGTCTCCTCCCAGCCCTCTCTCTAGCTCCGAGAGAGACGAAATGGTGAGAAAGTCAACATGGATGAGGTCATGGAGAACGGGCAGCCGTGAAGTAGCGGATTTGCCTCCCCCACTCCCCTGTACAAAGACAACCTTTCATTCCCTTGGAAAAATCCACCCTAGGCCCTCGGGAAGAAACGGTCTTCCCCAGGACTCCTGTTTACTCAGCTCTCGCCCAGGAGGCCAGGGCTGGCTGGCACAAACGCTGACCTCAAACTGGCAGAGTGGAGGGGTGAGCGGCTGTGTGAGGGACTCCCGCAGGGAAGGCCCATGGAATTTTCCTGCAGCCATTTTCCTTGCGACGGTAGCCACTGTTTCCCGCACAGTTGTTTTGAGGCAGGAACGTTTCAACTCAAACCATGAAGCGTTAGGCTTCAGGGAAATAAAAATCCCTTTGCTATTTTTGAGCCTGGCCCGCTTAGGTGGGGTGAGAGTAAGCGATGGAGTAAGGGTTAGAAGAGTGTTGTGCGCCTTGATTGGTGCTTTTCAGAAAGTGTTGGGGAAGGTCCTTCATTAGCTCTGATTGGGCTTTCAGAGGGACAGCTTATTTTGCCCGGCTGGTGTGCCTCAGTGGTTGAGCATCAACCTCTGAACCAGGAGGTCACGATTCGGTTCTCGGTCAGGGCACATGCACATGCCTGGTTTGTGGACTCAATTCCCAGTAAGGGGCGTGCAGGAGGCAGCCAATCAATGATTTCTCTCTCATCATTGATGTTTCTATCTCTCTCTCCCTCTCTCTTCCTCTCTGATACAAATAAAAAAATTATTTTAAAGAGAGAGAAGAATCTAAAACAATCTTCCTTGTATGGCAAAGTCTCCTTTTTGCCCTTTTGTTCCTTCTAGAACCCCCATCTCAAGCCCCGCCTCAGAGTCAGGCACCTACAATTTACCTCTGAGCAAGACTGGGTCCTTCCACCGGAGGCCCTGTGGGGGCGAAGAGAGAGAGGCCCCGCCCTCAGGGAGTTCCCAGGGAGACCTCCTTTCAGGTCCAGCACAGCCTTTTATCACCAGTATGACCCAGGCCTCACTGTCCCCATTTGTAAAAACGAGGGGACTGACCTAGATCAGCATTCCCCCAAATGTCAATCCATGTGCAGCGGTTCCATGGGCTGCACTGGGGACGATGGTCCTTTAGGCAGCACCGACTCCTCCAGGAGCATCCTGGGACGGCCTGCGGGTGTGAGGTCAGTTATACTACATGGCATCCCGCCCGAGCTGCCCACCCGGCTGGGGCACAGAGCCCTTTCCTGCCAGGTGCCTGCAGGCAGCTTTCTGGGAAAAGTCAGCTGCGGGTTTCTGAAGGCCTTTCCCGGTCAGAGAGGCCTGGGGCACGAGAACACCACCACCATCCTGGGGATGTGAGGGTCTGGCCTGTGGCTTGTGGTCACTCCCGCCTCCGCTGAGCTGCTCCAGCTGCAGAGGGGCCCGACTTCCGCGCAGGCTGGTGGTTAGGTGGGCAGGCCTGTCGGGCGCACAGCGACTGCGGGTCCTGCCATGGCCATGAGCAAGCAGGCGTCTCACTGCCTGCCGCCAGCCCGCTGCCTCAGACAGGCTGCCTCATTCCGGTCTTTCTGAGATTCCCTGGGGCCAGTGAGACTCACCAGGGAGCTCAGACTATACTAAGGAGGGGGCAGGTCTGCCTTGCCTCCTGGGGCCCCCTGTTGAGTCCCCAACAGGGACACGTTGTCTGGCTTCTAGAAAGAGAAGAGGAGGCAGGACTGTCAGAGCTGGCACAGTTAGTCTTTGGTTCCCTTCCCTCTCCAGGCTAGAATTGCCTCCTTCTAGAAAGAGGTGGCAAATGAACGCTTTTTGGTGAAGCGGAGAAAGGATGCTGAACCCCTCAAAGCCCCCTGTAACTGAGACAGTGAAGGTCGAGGAGATGGCGCCCCCAGCCAGGCATGTGCAGTGTCAGGCCCTGGAGCCCAGCCGGCGCAGCCCGCGGGAGACAGCAGGAAGTCTGGCTGCAGTCGCAGACTGAGTCATTTTGGGACGGTGAAGGGCAGGGTAGTCACCCCGTGAGGGAGGACGCCGTCACTGATGTGTCTGGAAAGTGAGTCAAGGGCCCACAGAGTAGAGGTAGGTCTCTGCGTTCCTGGGAATGGCTTCCTCTGGAGCCTTGTTCTGATATGTTTTCTCCCCTGAGTGACCTCAAAGGAATGGCAGCTTTGCAACAGACATTTCTTTAGCGAAATGAGCAAGTGTGCATCAGAGCTCCGAAGGGTGGAACCTGTCGGATTTCAGAGGCTGAGAACTCTTCTTCCCTTCCTCCCTCCCTCCCTCTTTTCCTCCCTCCCTCCCTCCCTCCCTCCCTCCCTCCCTCCCTCCCTCCCTCCCTCCTCTTCCTTCCCCTTATTACATCTATATTCATATCTCAAATACTTGTTAAACAGTTACCTTGTGCCCGGAGGCACAGAGATGAGGAGGCACAGATGGTCCCTGCTCTCACACATCCTGTGGTCTAGGGCTGGAAAAAGACACTAAGTATTGATAAATCTCGTTCTGTGGTCTCTGAATGCATCTAACAGAGGTCCTGGCAGGACCTGGAGGGGCAGGAGGACTTCCTTGAAGACAGTAGGCATAGGATGAGCCAGGAAGAACGGGAAGTTCACCAGAGAAGACTATTCCAAACAGAGGGGACAGAGGAAGCAGAGAGCTGGTGACTTTGAGAAACAGCCTGGTCAGTGTGGACTAAGAGGCAGGGGGGTGGTGAAAAGGGAGGGGCAGGATTCAGGTCAGACAGAGCCTGGGAGGCCATTCCAAGGAATCCTGGCTTTATCCTGAGGACAGTTCTTAGGCAGGGGAAGCGGGGAGGACTGGATCCCTGGAGGGATCCGGTGGGGGCTTGTAGGGGTGCTGTGAGATTCTGGGTGGAATGTTCTGATGCCCCATCCTCAGTCACACCCGCATAAGGGTGAGAGCCCATGAGTCAGAGAGGAGCTCAGGACTAGATGTCCTGCTCTAGGGTGGGAAAAAGACACTAGGAGGCTGGCTTCCAGGTGTCATTCTGCCCAGACCCACTGCGGGTGACGCCTGGGGTGAGGGTGGGGGTGGGGAGCGGGGGGCAGGTGCTTCCGTTCCCCTTACTATAAAATGGGTTTGGACCAGTGTGCCCTGATTTTAAGGATAAAGCACAGTAGTGGCTAGTGGGGAGCCTCATGGACAAACCCAGGTGGAGGCTGTTGACTGGCCCCCATCCAGGCAGCAAACCCTGGGGTCATAGAAACATAGCAGCCTCTTTAGCATGAGCTGGCACTTACTCAAGGAATTGGAAAAATCCCAAGGAAGTAATCAAGTAGTTCACAGACACTTTGATATGATGGAAGGAGTCCAGGTTTTGGAACCAAAAAGACTTGGACTTGCGTTCTGATCTGCCACTAGCTGTGTGACCTTGGGCAAGTCCCTTCACTTCTCTGAGCCTCCTGTCATCAGCTGTAACGAGAGGGTAATTGTAACAGGCTGCCCTTATCCAGTTGTTTCAAGGATTACAGGTGGTGTTTGTAAGATGTTGACTACAGCAGAGGGCAAGCATGGCCCTTCAGTATTTGGTAAAGCAGGAAAATATTCCAGCCCTATGAGAGAGGTGGCTTTTCCCTTGCACTCCAAGAGAGGAGCAACCCATCGGCCATGAGTGCCTTACACTAGGCAAGAGGCCGCTAGGAAGTCTTGCCTTGTATCTCTCTACATGTTAGCTGAGGCCTTCCCCCTAGATTTTCCCTACGTGAGCCTGGCAGCCTCTGGGCACTGTCACTGGAGAGAGGTGCCTAGACCCTTGGCCACCTACAGGTTGTCTCCCCCAGTTCCCCCAAAGAGCTCACAGAAGGCACGGAACACCGGTCCTGCTACAACAGCAGCTGAGCGGCATGGAGTCAATCGTGTCACATGTAGGCACGGGCATCCTCTTCTCCCACCACTGTCATGGGTCATACACCAAGACCTATAGCTGTGGGACCAGGGCAGGGGAGACAGACTCTGAGGTGAGCAAGGGGCCAGGATGAGGGGTTTCTAGGGCTATGAACACACACACACACACACACACACACACACACACACAAACGAACATGGACACACATGAGAAAACATGATTATGTGTGCTCGCTTCAGCAGCACACGTACTAAAATTGGAACAATACAGAGGAGATTAGCATGGCCCCTGCGCAAGGATGATAGGCAAATTTGTGAAGCGTTCCATATTTTTACATGGCTTTCTATTAAGTTTGACTGTGTATATATAATTAATTTTCCACAACTAAAATGTGCATTATTTTTCCAATGTTTTATCATTGCTGTTTATTTTTATTTTTGTTTCTGAACATTCAATACATGTTTTTTGTATGTATGTTTAATTACATATCTTTCATATAGAATATCAAATTTTTACTGTTCATTAAGTTCTAGAAAAAAGCAAATAAATGAAGATTGTTTTATTTGCTTGATAAATTGAAAGTGTATTTTTTATATGAAGCTGGTTTTCTGTCACAATTGTATCTGCCCGAAACTTGAAAGTTCTTATAATAAAATAAAAATATATATGATAAAAAAGAAAACATGATTATGTAACAAACACAAACCCAGAGACCCCCAGACACTTGAGTACATGATCATGCCATTTAACTTCCCCATACTTTAGTCTCCTCTCAGTACATGGATGATGGTGAATGGAAATGTTGGTAGAATTGCACATAAGGTACATGGACCACTACCTGGCCCAGAGCAGGCACTATTTTTGTTACTTCTGATGTATTATGCTGGACACCCTCAGAGAACACAGACATGGGAACACACTACACCCAAACCAGCAGGACCAGATCACATGCAGACCCCAGGTCCGACCACAGACACATGTGCAGGTGCCCAGCCAAGAGAAGCCCCACAGTGGCAGTGGAGTAGGGACATGTGGTCTGGCCTTGGCCGAAATGAGCATGGTCTCTTTCAGCGGGACCACAGCAAAGAAAACAAAACTGCTCTGTAAATTCAGAGTTATGAGATGGAGCGTGGAGGGAGCCCAGGGAGAGCAGCAAGGGGTGAGGGGAGTCAGAAAGCTGGGGCCAGAGGTCAAGGCCTCTATAAGAGGTCAGATAGTCTCTTTTAAGCCTATGGCTGGGCCTGTAGGCCCTCACTCCACCCTGACCTCTTCAATGGAAGGTTTATTGTGAGCAGCACCTGACAGGACAGGTGTGTGGAGATGAACAAAGAAAGGGGGATGTGTTGTCTGAGTTTGGCCACATTTCAGAGACAAAAGACAGGAGATGTGGAATTCAGTGAGGGCAGGAAATGAGAGCAGGCTGACCAGGAGAAAGGAACAGGCCTGAGGCCAACCGAGGATTATCACAATGGGCCCTTACAATGGCTGGAGAGTGCAGATTATCCAGGTGGCCAACTTTTGGATTCTAAACCGAGCAGAAATAGGAGCAGGTATGTCCCATTCTCTCTAAAGCGACATCCCCACCTGCCAAGGGAGGCTGGAGGAAGGGAGAGGGAATGGTGTGGGTTTAGTAAGTGAAGGCTCTGTGCAAAGAGTGTGGGGAGCAGAGGAAAAGCCACGCTGTGGTCCAACTGGAAATCAGTAGGGCCTCTTGGGAATGTTTTGAGGAAGGTCCTCAGGAACTTTCTCTGAAGTTTATCAGCTTTCCTGCGACCCCACACCGGTTACATTTAAGAGGAGCCTGTGAGTGGCCCTCCGATAATGAGTCCCTATCACCTTTCTTTCACGGACTAAGCCACCCCACGGTTTGGTGATTAACGGGCACTGACTCTGCATGTCAGGTGGGATTAAGGAAGGGGCCCGGCGCTTTTGAAGAAAAGGTGGCCATCTGGAGGTGCAGGTGCAAGGTGACTGCGCTGGAAGGTGCCAGATGGTTTGGTTCTTTGAAGACAAATTAGGGAAACCCAGACGATGACAGATGGGCAGATGTTGGGGTTATTGTGAAAGGGGTTTGCCCAGGTGAATTTTTTTTTTTTTTTTTTTTGTATTTGGGGTTGGGCTGAGCACAAGGATTTCATCACTATTTATTAACTGCCTTTCAAACGTTGCTCACAAATGCCTTAGGAATCTCTTTATGGCAGATTAGCCTGGGAAATAACTCAGGCAATAAAAAGAAAAGAAAGGCCAGGCCAGGCAGACCCATGGTCCCTTGTCTGCAATCCCAACAGGTGAAACATCTTTGAAAACTGCACGTTTTTAAAGAGCTCACTTGGCAGCACAACGTGACCTGAATTGACCTGAAGCCCTTTGTCACCTCTCTCCCACAGAGAGTGAACGATGGTGCATAAACATTGGCGCATGTGATTATTGAGTATGGCACCAGACCCCACTGGGATTTTACATAATTCAGGCACCATATTAATTTTCTAAAATCCAAAAAGTTCTGGATTCTGAGACACATTTGGCCCCCATTGTTTGTGGACAGGTCCCACCCACCATCAGGGGCGGCTGAGGATGAATGCTTGGCAGGCTGCCTGGTGGTGGGTCTCAGCATGGGATGTTTAGGTGTAAGAGCGGGGAAGAGGTTCCAAGGAGATGCTGCAGCTCTTGGGGTGTGTGTGAAGGCACTTGGGAAGGGTGGTGGAAGGGCGGTGGTGTATATTTGGGGAGGAGGGAGCAGGAGTAAACTCCCAGACTGGAAGCATGGAAATTAACAAAGAGGGGAAAACTCTTAGGAGAGTCATCCTCCTGGAGGAAATGATAATTCACTTTAAAACTGCGCTAATAATGAACTTATATCATTCAGTATATTTATATTTATTGGGACTTGTTCCATGGCCCAGAATATGGTCTTTCTGGGTGAATGTCCCATGTGTACTTGAAAAGAATGTGTCCTACGGTTTTTGTTCTATAAATGTCAGTCAGGCCAAGTTGGGTGATGATTGTTCAAATCTCCTCTTTACAAGCTGGCTTTCTGCGTATTCATTCTATAAATTGAGAGGCATATTGAAATATCCACTATGATTGTAAATACAGTCTGTTTCTCTTTTCAGTCCTGTTTTTGTGTCAGGCGTTTTGAAGTTTTATTGTTAGGTCCATAAATAAGTAGGATTGTTATGTCCTCTCGGTGAATGGACCCTTTTATCATCATGAAGTGTCCATCTTTATCTTTAATAAAGTAGTCTTTGAACTAAAGTCTACTTCATCTAATATTAATATACCTATTTTAGTTTTCTTACAATTAGAGTTAACATGGTGTATCTTTTTCTATAAAAGATTTTTTGTTACCTTTACCTTTTCGGTATAATTATTATTAAAGTGGCATTCTTATAGATAGCATATAATTGGGTCAGTTTTTCTTAAATCTAATTATTTCATTTTATCTTGACTTTTAGTTATATTTTTTATTTTTTAATATTTACAATAGGATATACAATGTATATCTTTAATTTATCACACTGTATATTTAAATAATATTATGCTGATTTAGGTATATTATAACTTCACAATATACTTTAAGGCCCCTATCCTTTGTACTATTGTTATTATACATTTTGTTCTATTATAAATCCCACAGTATATAATTATTGTATTATTATTTTTTGAACAATCAATTATCTTTTAAATACACTTTAAAATGGGGGGGGGGGAGAGGATGTATTTTTTAAACATCATTGGCTTCTTTTTGAAGCAGAGAACCCACTATGAGATGGACCAGGGCCTTTTTTCCCTAAGAACTGGGCCTCAATCTCGACTACATATTGAAATCACCAAGGGAGCTTTTACTAATCCTGATGCTCAGGCTGTCCTGGTAAAAAGTTAGTCTCTGGGGTGGGCCCAGGCATCTGCATTTGTTAAAGCTCCTTAGGTAACTCCAGCGTGTCCCTGAGACTGAGAACACCGTACCACGATGCTCCGCAGCCAGCGTGGGGGCTGTGGGTCTGTCTCCCTGGGGAGCTGTATCAGCTACTCTCTCTGGACCATGGGATCAGGTGTGTATTTCATGTACTTACCGCTCTCTTCCTTTACTTTCCGGAGCATCTTCTCACTGTGCCCTTGCTCTGCTCAGAAGGAGGCCCAGGTGATGAGACAGTGGAGATGGCCAGGCAGGATGTGTTGTAGTGGGGCAGAGGGGAATGTGGATCCAGGGAGGGGAAAGGAGGTGGAAACAAAGCAGAGGCTGCAGGGGTGGAGGGGGGAGGGGGCATTGCCCCATCCCTTCCTCCTGCTCTCACCTTCCGTCCTCTTCTCCAGGCCCAAATAAGTCTGGAACTAGCCAGCCGGGTTGGCGACTGTCCAAGGTCTTCTGCCCACACTGCCTGGCCATAGTCCTGCTTAAGCGTGATGAAAAGGCATCGGAAGCTCCTTCCTATTTACCGAGGACGCGTGGGCTTGTCTCCCGGGAACAGAGCCCACAGACTTTCTGTGATGGAAAGCACCGTGGGTCGGAGCTCCTGCCCTGCCTACCCGGACTCCGAGTCCCTGGGCCAGTGGCTTCTCCTCTGTGCACCTCAGGGTTCCTACCTGTAAATTTAGGGGACCAAGCTGCATGGTTTCCCTGGTCTTCCATCTCTGACATGGGCAGGCAGCCTTGTGTCCCTTTGGCACGGCTCCATAACTCGGCTTGGGGGACCCCTTTCTCCTCAATGGCATGTGACATGTGTGGAATGGCATGTGACACGTGTGGAGTGTTGGCTCTGAAGTCCCCTCCTGAGCATGCCAGCTCTGAGGGGCAGGTTGGAAATCTTTGGCAGCTGAGACGACGGCAGCTGGGCTGTTGGACTTGTACCAGAGCATGTGGTGGAATTGGACCTTCACATGGACGTTCTTTTCCTTTCTAACGCAGGGAAATGACTGTTTTGTAAGGGTCATGTTGGGGGCACTATTTTGAAAGGGCCCACTCAGCACTCCCACCAGTCGTTCAAGATGGGATAGACTTGCTCCCTCTGGGTTGAGCATGTGCCATGGAGATTCCTGGGGCTGGAGGGGTCCAGGGTGGACAACCATATGGAGGATGCCACAAGAGAACCCTGGCCTTGGAGGATGTGTGGGAGCTGAGAGAAGCCAGTATAACAAGGGACTCTAGAAGAGCTGAGCCGGCGGTTCTCCAAGGAGATGCGTGGAGCAGTGGTGGAGAGGAATTTCGGTGCATGGAGTAAGGGGCCGACGGGAGAGCCAGGTCTCCAGGATGGGCCTCACAGGGGTGCTGTGGCAGGATGAAGCCCAGCAACTCACAGAGAGTTGCCCTCACAAGGACATTGGGCAGAAGAGGC